TGCCGTCCAGTCATTTACAAATCATAGCGACCCTATGTACAACAGCTCTAAACCCTGCTCTATCCTGTGCCAATGTTAGCAAACTCAAAAGTATGTTTGTTTTATTCTGAGGTAATATTATTGTTGTTAAGGGCTGTCAAGTCGTAGGAGGCGAGTCATAGCAACCCTATGAAGGAGAGTCCTCAACACTTGGGTGTCTTTCATCCTCTCTCCAGGTTCATAGGATTTCCAGAGGCAAGCTATTACAGAAGTGGATATTATTATTATTATCATGTGTGTACTGTCTAATCAGATCTTACAGGTACAGGAGGAAATTGCCCCTCCTTCTCCAGCAGAGCATCTGGTGGATTCGAACCACTTACCTCTGGGGTTGCAATGCAGCTTCTTGTCACTAGGCCACCAGAGCTCCCTGAGGTAATATCCTGAATGATCTTACAGTGTCAAAGTATTTTTGTGCAATGCATATCTTTACGGAGAATAACAGTCATTGATAACTGATGTCCAGCCGTCTAAGGTCTCCACATTGGAAACTTGTTCAAGATGTCAAGTATCTCCCCATGCCCTCCTTGGAATTTGCCTTTTACCAAAACTGAGATTCTGAAAAAGTTAAAGAGTGACTTGTAATAATTTCTAATTCTCTGAGACAACATTCTTGGCTGGCCAGTTGCGTCTCTGACCTCCTCACGCGTTAGGATTCAAGAAAATAGCACCAGCAGAAGACATTGTGTTGTTGTCATTAATTTATGTAGCTCTTTTGTGCTCCCAGGAATTTCAAGACAAAAGGAAATCATGCCATGCTGCACTGTTTCCTGGTTATTAAGATCTCACCCTACTTTCTGTCTACAGATTATATATTGTTGACCGTTCTCATGACTGTTTTGAGAGGAGGTAAAATGGTACTTTGCAAGAAAGTAAAGATGTGTCTGAAACTTCCTGTCAACACTTGGTGTCAACTTTCTGCTCTCTTAAACCTGTTCTGGACATAAAGAGAGAAGAAAAAGTGTGCAGTTGTTCAAACTTGGTGCTAGTGTATTGGAAATTTGGGAAACCAGATATAATAAGTGAAAATAGTTGAGGAATAAGCATGAAGTCAGTATCCTTGGCTAGATCAAGGTTATTTTATAAAACGTGGTGTCAGATCACTGTGAATTCATTTTTTGGGGGGGATGTAAGACTCACCCTTGGTTATAGAACTCTTGGCAGTGAGAGATATCTTTCTGACCTCCATTGTGTTGAATGATTTAGGATCCATTGATCTTGGAAGACATGTTAGTTAGTGGTTTTCGGCCCTGACGAGTGGGTTTTGCTCAGTGCTGTTCAGAAGAATCTCTACAGCTATGTGGTGATGGCAACTTTAAGAAATTTGGAAGCTGTCGGTAAGATTGGCATTCTATTTATCTTGCAATCCTTTTTTTTTAAATTTTTTTTTGCAATCCTTTTTATGAACAAACTAATGATATTTCACAATGCAGCTTTAGTGTTGTAGCTGAGAAATGGTTTTAAATGTGGTCCTTTGTTCCATAATGCGCATATATCCAGACGTCCCCATAAAAATAAAGGCCTATATATGACGGTATGTTTACCTCATCTTAGGAATGAAAAGACTAAGGTTCTGTAGATGCTAAAAGCTAATCACTCGCTTCAGTGCAGTCAATTGTATCATCTTCAGCGTTGTTTAGATGTGTAAAATATTTTATTATGGTAGCATCCACTTCTGAAACAGCTTGCCTCCAGAAAATCTGTGAACTTAGAGAAACGATGAACATCCAAACTGTTTGGGACTTTTCGTTCATAACCCTAACCCTAACCCTAACCCTAACCCTGACTCCACAGCACTTGGCAACAATAATACCAAGTGTCATATTTTCGTGCCGGTAAACTTAACATCGGTCCATTATCAGAGATCATGAAGACTGATTTAAAAGCAAGACGTTCTTTGTTTTATCACCGTGACCGTATGGTTGGCTTCACTATGTTGTGCTTTGAGATCATGGTCTTAGCCCCATGGAAATGGGAATCTATGGGGGCCAATGGATGAGGACAGGAAAGAAATGCAAGAATTTCATGAAAGAACTCCCCCTGCATGAAGTGCATTAAAATTCAAATGTGGTACCTGGAGAAACTTCTGGGACTGTAAAATCACAGACTCCTGATGGTTGATGAATCATGCAGCCAGCCAACCTCTTCCAACTCATCCCTGCATATTAACCCATTTATCTTGTCATCCCTCACAATTCTTATGGTGCTGTTTCCTGCAGACTTTGTTAGTTTTCTCATTCTTCGCCAACACGCGTGGCCGTAAAGATATGCATAACAAGCAAGCAAAATACTTGCAGTAAGTGTTATTTTGATGAGAAAAAGAATACAAGAGAATCGCCCCATAAAATACGTGTCAGTATGCTTTTATAGCCCCTTTTTAAACTTTTTGCATGATTCACCAAAGGTCACCTGTCATCTTGTACAGATGCTGGCTTTACAGTGCCACCCATAACCCTGTCTCTCATGGATTCTAGAACTTTCAGGACTTTGCATTTGGTGCCTCATTTATATTGCAAATAGAAAAACAAAAAAAAAAAACCCAAAACACCCTTATTCTTTTCTTTTCCAATATCTAAAGCACTTTATTGCAAATCTGGGAGGGCAGAGGGAATCTTCATGCAAAACTGCCTTGCTGTCTAAGACTGGACATTGGCTTTTTCTGCTTGGGTTACATGTTAATCTATTTAACATGTGACTTTTGTGTGTTCAAGTTACAGGGTTTTTACATTCAAAAAGAACCATTTATATGCTGTCAATAGCAAGTGTGACATAGTTAACACATGACTGAGAAAAACGGCTTCAAAAAGGGAAATGTTAATACCGGAAAGATGTGTTTCCCTTCCTGGTAAAAAAAGCAGCTTGACGTTCCTTTTTGCTGTGTGAAACCATTATTATCGGATTACAAACTGTATTCTACTCGACTGTAGATTCACGTATACGTCTTTTTTTGTTGTATACATGTTTTTATAAATATAAACTCAACTGCAGATTGATAGGTTTCTATACTATCCTCCACATTTTCAAATGTGCATGTCACAGGGTCTGTACCTGATACGTGTGTCACTTTTGGCAAAGTGATTCCAAAGTCTTTGATTTTATCAAACGGCGGTTAGTCATAGTAGGCTTAGGGTTACAGTTAAGGTTATTCCTTCTGAGTCTTAGTACTGGAGAAGAGTCTTGATTGTACCATGGACTGCAAGGAGAAGATACAGGTCTGACTCGGTGAAGGTTAAACAAAGTTTCTCTTGGAAGCAAGGATTTGGAAGCTGTGTCTCACATGCTTGAGATACGTGGCCAGGAAGGACCGGTCCTTGGAGAAAGACATCATACTTGCAAAGGTGGAGGGATAGGGCAGTCGAGGGAGATCTCAGAGGAGATGGATTGCCGTGATTGACTGTGGCAATGTGATTAGAAGTATCAATCAGAGTTGAAGTGCTGGGAGACAATGAGACGGGCTCAAAACAGAGCAGGCTTCAGAGCTCTTGTACATAAAGTCCTTATAAGTTGCAGGCGATTCTGAGGCACATAACAACAATGGGTTATGCTTACGATTAAATTAAATATACGGGTATATTTACAGAATGGCACACAACAGTAACAAGAGAATTAAGTCTGGGATTCAGTTGACTGTCGCGGTATTTATGATCTAGCTAAAAGTGAAACATTTGGAAGTTCAGCTGTCTTTGCTCAAGTTGAATTGCTATTAGACTTCTCCGATCTGTTAGGTTTTTTTGCACTTTGGTGAATCAGCTGAAATCTTCAGCCTTTCTCAGCTCCACAGAAGTTCCATTTCCCCTTCTTCTCAGGGCATAGGTAGAACCAGACAGGTGTCTCTTTTTGAAATCTTCATTTGGACTCATGTTTTCTGTTATCCAGCACATCCACCCACATCTATCCTCTGTGCACGTACAAAAGGATGGTGCGCTGATCAGATGAAAATGTGGCATCTTTCCATCTTTGCCACGTATATCACTTGAGGGGACAAGTCAAGAAAAGCCTATCATTTTGGTGCTTGTATGTAATAACTTCATGGTCAGCTGAAGTTCTTGTGCAAAGGAGAAAGGCTAGAATTCAGGACATTGGGTAGTGACGGTGCTAGATCTGTGTGTGATCACTGAGCTTCTCAATAGAGATCATTTCCACTTATGTGCTGTTGTCTGTTTCCCCAGACATGGATGCTTTTGGTGAAATTGCTGAAGGTGGACAGCAGGGGACGACGGTCAGCCCCATACCCAGTCTTGGGGTGCGAGCACACCTCACTCGCCAAGTCAAGCCTCCAGCACAGCCTTTCCTGAGTCGTGCATGGCAAAACCATCCTGCCACATTCAACATGGGAAGCCCTCGGGGGAAGGAACACGATGATGACAGCTTTTGCCCTCTGGCAGTGAGCACTCTTGGGACTCCCCTGAAGACAGTGGGACCCAGTCAATCTCAGGTATGTGGGACCGACTCCCCCTTTCCAGTGACGACGTGTGTGCATGGCGGTCCAGAAGAGAAGCGTTCAGTGCAACCCAGACGCTGGGTCGGAGACATAATGTTTTTAAAAGCATAGATGGTGTGGAGACTCCCAGGGAGGCAACGTTAACCGTCGGTCATTGTAAGGACAAGCAACGTGAAGGTGAGGCCAGTGGAAGACCCGCGTTGGCTGAGGTCAGGTGCCACGCTCAGAGCCCTGGTGGACATCAAGTCTATGAATGCAAGCAGTGTGGGAAAGGATTTATGAATTCTTCATGTCTGGCCGTGTGTGCACGGAGCCACACTGGAGAGAAGCCATACATGTGTTCCCATTGTGACAAAGCTTTTAGGCATTCGTCCTCTCGCACTGTCCAGGTGAGAATCCACACTGGGGACAGGCCTTACGTGTGTAAGGACCAGACATGCACAGACACACAGTGAGGAGAGGCCCTACCCGTGTCAGCATTGCGGGCTGACCTTCGCAGACCGGTCCAGTGTCAGGTCCCATGCTTGCACCCACACGTCGGACAGGCTTTATGCACGCACGGATTGATGCAAACGCTTCAGCCCCCTCCTCGGCCCTGCCTGCACTGCAGAGCTCTCACACGCAGGAGGGCCTCTCCAGGTGCAAGGAGTGTGGCAAATGTTTCACCCGTGCCTACAACCTCAGGGTGCACATGCGAATTCACAGCGACGAGAGGCCGTACACGTGTCAGGAGTGTGGGAAGGCCTTCCGACAGCTCTCGGCCCTGGACGAACACAGGCACACGGGGGAGAGGCCCTACCTGTGTCAGGTGTGCGGGAGGGCCTGTGGGGATCTCTCTGCTTTGACAGGCCACCTGTGCACACACACAAAGGAGAAGCTATATGAGTGTCAGGAGTGCTGGAAGGGCTTTGCTCACACCTCGTCCTTGGCTGTGCACCTCAGAACACACACGCAGGAGAGGCTGTGGGAATGTCAGACGTGTGCCAAGCGCTTCCACCGTGCCTCCCACCTGCAGGTGCACATGGGGGCCCACGCTCGAGAGAAGACCTATCGGTGTCCACGGTGTGAGAAAGGGTTTACTCAGCTCTCCGGCCTCCTCAAGCATATGCAGCGTCACACCTGAGAGACGTGAGATCCGTGCAAAATATGGGCCTTGAGGGCTTTAACTATATCTGCCGTCCCAAAGGCACACAGTTCAAATCCATCCACCAGCCAGTTCCATGGAGAAGGATGGACAATCTCAGAGACTGTAAATCACCCTCCCGCGGTTCCAGTTGGGATTTCAGAGGTACTCAGTCTCATGGGAGAAGACTGCCAGTTTTAATCCCTCAGAGTATCTGGTGGATTCAAAGTTTATGCCTTTGGGTTGGCGGCAAAGCTGCTGAGTGCTAGCCTACTCTTCTAGGGTTTTCCAAAACCATAGACACCTTGGCTTTGGTGCAGTTCTGTCCCAGGGCCTTTGTAAATTCCCCATCCTTCCTGGACAGGATCTTCCCATCATCCGTTGAGTCAAACAGCTTGGAAGACTCTGTCGTCTGGTTCGCAGTGAAGTCATACATCTCGAGTGCTCAGATCACGGGAAATTTTCCCATAGCAACACATCCCCCACACGCAGATTAATTTGCAAACAATTATTCATCTACCCAGCATGTCTTGATGGTTTGACTGCTGTCCATGCTGCACAAACAAAGGACAGGGCTGCTATGAGTTGGAATGAAAGTCATTGAAGTTTTTCTTGGTCTCATGATTTCCCTTCGACTGTGCTATGCGTGAGAGCACAGCACTAAATCAATACTACATCTTTCCAGAGAAAAAGAGATGAGAATGGTGGGTGTCCTCCGGACCCAGATGTGGATGAACTAGTTAAACCTTTTTCTAGTTGTCCTTTTGAAAGGTCTTCCCCCTTTTTTCTTATACACCCTCAGAAGAACAGATAGCTAACTGCTTGTCCGTCACCTTACACGGTGACCTTTCTCAAGGGTCCTCTGGTTGGACAGCATTCCTGCATTCCAAATCTAGCTCTTGATGGGACAATACATTGAAAAATGTAATTCAGAACACATGAGGAAAAAGGACAGAGATCCACATTTCTAACGATGATAGGGTCATATTCATGACACATGGTTGTTTTTTTCCAGATGGGCAGTGATACAAATACTTTGTCGACTAATTGATGGATTATTGGTTATAGTTGAAATTCATGTTTCAGTTTATAAGCCAATCAGCGCAAACTCAGGATTTTTGTCTCTGGAGGAAATAATGGTGATCTGGGCCAGGTCTCGAGTATTTTTTTGGCAGCGCTAAAAGTATTTTGTAATGTCTCACGGAGCCAGTGAGAGATAGGGACAATTTCTTCAAGGGACCCAGGAGGAAGGAAGACAGACATGCGTCAGTCTCAGAGGGTAAGGTCACAGCCTCTGGGGTGTCAACTCGTGGACCTATGGCTTCAGAGTTTTTTAAAAGTAAGGTCTCTCTCTCTCTTACACACACACACACACACACACACACACACACACACAAGGTCACAGTTCACTGGATGGCACAAAGGGTTGGATCTTTGAGAAATTAGTTTCACGGCGTGAACCTGCCATTAAAAACAGGGAAAAAAAATTTCATCCTGCAAAAATTTGTCTTTGACAAGGAAGGGAACAGCACTGCCACGGGGGCTGAAATCTTGCATATCTTGGGCACCTGGGGTGAGAAGATGACAGAGAAGGGAGTAGAGACAGAGGGGTGTTATGAGTCAGCTTTTAATGAAGGGAGTGGTGCTTTTGTATTTTGAGGTTTTTAATGGTTCTAATTATGTCACCCCACCTGTGTGACATCTCGGATGTAATTGCACCAGATAACGAAGACCTATTTTAAGGCCTAACATGCTGCTAGTGGTAGAATATATTTTCTCGATCCAGATCTACGTAAAATCTGTTTCTAGTGATTTTCATCTTTCATTTTTTGATCTTTATTGGTAACAAATGCTATCTGCTTCTCAGTGATCTGGGAAATCTTTCTCCAGGATCATCAGCCCATGGAGAAATCAGCCTGGGTTTTTGTAATCTAAGCCCAGCTCTTGACGTGATAATAAACCATAAATGGTAGCCCAAGCTATGTTGAGAGCCCAGGTGTTTTCAAGAGCCTCTTGTGACAACAGAGTAAGGGGACACTGCATGGTTTAAAATGTCAGGGTTGTATCCTTTCTCTCTGTATCATTTTTCTGTATGTTGAGCAGATGATTTTCAGGAAGCTGGACTCTGTGAAGAAGAATGTGGCATCAGGATTGGAGGGAGAGTCATCAATAACCTTCCTTATGTGGGTGACACAACCTTGTTTGTGGAAAGCGAGGAGGCTTTGAAGCACTTGCTGCAGAAGGTTAAAACCTGCAGCCTTGTGCGACAATGTATGAAAGGAAATCTAAAGTCTCTGTAAACTTTCATTAAAATCTAAAAACAAAATACTACAGCCTTTAGTATGGATTTACATCTTCATATCAAGCAGACAAAAGCTCTTAGCAATAAACCTATAGTCAACTATCATGATACGTGTGTGTGGGGGAAATACAGTACAGAGTTCAACAATCTTTTTTTTAATTTTTATTGCAATGTTAACACAAGTGTACAGAAAACTTGGATTTCCATTCATTCATTGTTTCCCATTTTCCTCCTTATCCCCCACCCAGCTCACTTTCCTCTCTCTTTTTTTTATTTTATTATTTTTTTGTGCATTGTACCATCGAATCAGATCTGACTGGTCCAGGAGGAGATTGTACCTCCTTTTCTAGCAAAGCATCTGGTGCATTCGAACCAGGCACATCTGGGATTGCAGTGCAGCTTCTTGCCACTAGGTCGCCAGAGCTCCCTCACTTTTCTCTTTAAAAAAAATATTTTGTTTTTCACTTTTCCCTTTTTAAATTTTTTTTCACTTTTCTTCTTTTTAATTCTTTTTCACTTTTCTCTTTTTAAGTTTTTTTTTCACTTTTCTCTTTTTTACATTTTTTCACTTTTCTCTTTTTTACCTTTTTTTCACTTTTCTCTTAAAAAATAAACATTTTCTTGTTGCACAAAGCCTTCAACAATTCTAAATATGCATTAGTATTTATGAAGGGTTATTGAAATGATGGAATAAATAAACTTAGCAAAGTGTTCCCTTTGCACAAAGAGACACATCTATTCACTTTCTCTGCGCTTTCGTTGTGACAGTCACGATCAACATCCGTGACTCAGTGAATGGGAGAAAATCCAGCCCTTTCCCTGCAGAAGGAAGGAATGAATCATCTTGGCTCCAGTTCCCATGGGAACCACTGATGCCCACGGAACTGAATGTCGAGCGCTGTGCATTTCCGGGCCGGACCCCTTTCGGGGCTGCACCCACCGGAAGTGCCCTCCGCGGTCTGCGGGGCCCTTTGTCTCGCTCCGTTTTGGGCGTAAACCGAGCTTTTTTGTGTCCCCAGCGGCGTATTTCAGGCTCGAGTGACCCTCAACCTTTTTTGCTGGGGTCCAGGGAGCTTCTCCCCCCCCGTTTTGCCGCCTTTCCCGGAGCTTCGGGACCTTCCTGCCGCCGCAGAAGCGGCGGCCGCGTCTTGGCTCTGCGGCTCCGGCGCGCCTGGTTCTGCATCGGACACACTGTCGCTCAAAGGTAACAATCTGCAAAATAATGCAAATTATTGCGAGGGCCGGGAGGTGCGGGATCGTTCAGAAAGGCAGCTGGACAGCTTATAAGGTGTTAGCACGTTTACAAACCAAATCGAGATGGGGGGGACCTCCCCTCCCCCCATGCGCAAAAGAAGGGTTTTCGGGAACCCGGTGGCATCGATTTCCTTTAGAAAATGGATAAAAATCCTCTCTGATGTGCAAGATTTTTAATGTTTAAGCCCTTTTGGACCTCGCTGGTCGTCACTGTCCGTAGAATTCACATTGCAATGTTTTCCCTTTTTCATTTATTTTTGTAATTATTTTTATTGTGTAATTTTTACGTGTACCGTCAAAGCAGATCTGACTGGCACAGGAGGAGATTACATCCACCTTCTACAGCAGAGCATGTGCTGGAGCAATTTTTATTTTTTTTTTCTTTTTAAATCTATCTCTGCCAGCACTTTACCGAACTGTGCATGTGCCCATTGATGAGGGATCAGTGTCCGAAGGTGGGGGTGACCCCGCTTCAGCGTGGGTCCCCAGGCTCCTAGCAGAAGGTGGGAGGGTCAGTGTATCCAGCAGGGACAGGATCGGGGGTGAGGGGATGGGAAGATGTCATTAAGACGAATTTTTCTGCAAAGTCATGCACGGTTACACTCTCTGGCAGTTCAAATGCACCATCTAGCTCTTTGTGGAAAAGCTAAGCGGTCTCCTCTTTACTTTTGGGGGGATTTGCAATCACAAAACAGCTGATGTCAGGTCATTGCAGTCTGAAAAATGACTCAGGCATGGAGTGGGTGTGATCTGCTTCTCCTTGGTGGCTTCTAGGGGGTCAGGAGGTGGTGCAATCTATACAGAATCAAGGTGTTAATCCTAAAAGATGTGATTCTGACAGTTAAAAACAAATCCACAAGGGGCGTCCAGGTAGGAAAAAAGGGGGGGCATCACAACCTCAGAAGCGCTCTGGGAGAATCAGGGATTTTTGTGGGTGCAAAAAAAAGAGTTATGCATTTGAGCACTTGGTTGGTGCTACCTCGTGGTTCGGCCTAAGTCGATTCCAACAGCTGTCCTGTAGTTGCCACAAAGAATAGGCTCTTGGAACAGCATGGAAAAGAGCTAGTGCCTGCAGCCTGTGACACCTTAAATGCAGATACACGCACTGGAGTCTTATAGTAACCCCTAAAAGTATGCACAAACCTGCCACTCTTTGTCACTGAACTCTCTCTCCTCCCCATCCTTCTGTTTCAGCCACCAGGACAGGTGAGTGGAGATCTCGGCCAGCCCACGCACCTCTGAATCTTAAGGTGAAGAAATCCCTGCTGAGAATTTCTCCTGCCCGGGGAGGGCCAGACATGATGCCTCCGTTGTGAAACAGGCCAGGATCCGGCTTCCAGACCTTACACCTGCATCCGTCTCCCTGAAATGGCATTGGGAGATTAGAGCCCAAATACCCTGAGACCTCCAGAAGATGGGTGGACATGAGGTAAGTCCCAGGAAGCTTTCTTTTCGCACTGGGAACATAGGCTGACAGCTGTGGCAGTGCCCAGTATTGCTACAAGACATCCTGAGACCCTTGTACGCAAAGGAGGCCCTTCATTTCTATACATAGCTTGCTTCTTTTTATTTTTTTAAACAAAATATTTACGGCGCTCTGGTGGCCTAGTGCAAAAGAAGCTGCACCGCAATGCTGAAGGCGTGCCGTTCAAATCCACCAGATGCTCTGCTGGAAAAGGAGGGGTAATCTCCAGTTTGGTGGTACACAATAAGAAAAGAAAGAAATTTTAAAATGTTTATACTGGTTTATTTCCAAAAGTTGTATACTGTGTTTTCCACACCAGATCTTTCCCGTTTCTTTCTCCTCCACCCAACAAAATTATGTGACCCTCTGATTAACCTCCACTTCTCCAGACCGTCCTCACCCCTCTGGTCCCATCGCCGGGATTCTCATACTCTCTCTGCAATTATGGTCTTAATCCAGTGTTTATCCTCATGGGATTGAGTTCACGTAGAATAATGCTCTTCCGTCTTGTCCACGTTGGGCAGGAATTTACAAAATCATTGTTCCTGCATGATGCGTCTTATTCCAACGTGTGAGTGCGTCGTGATTTCCCAATCCCTTCCCATTGTGGTTGGACATTTGGGCCATTTCAGTGTTCTTGTGATGTTGGATGATGCTTTTCTGAACACTCGTGTACAATTCTCTATGCCTTCGTTCTCATTTTCTCGGGGTCTATTTTAATATATTCCCAGCAGTGCGATAGCTGGGTCGTTTGGAATTGATGCAGCTCGATATGTTGCTTGCTTTTTTCTTTTTTAAAATTATTTATCGTTGCACATTTCCCCCCCTCTCTTTCTAGCCGCGGCGGCAATGCCTCAGTTGCTCCAGATTGTTGTAAAACATCTCACGCCTCGTTCTATATTCCTTCCTTCATCTGCTGTAATGTTTATTAGCTACACACTCCTCACGTGCTCTCCCCACCCCCATGTCTGTACTGTTGGATCACAGCGGTGCCGTGCAGTATTTGTCCCTTTCTGACTGAGATACATCACGCAGCACAATGTCCTCAGGGACTGTCAGCTGACACCGGGCGGGGGCTTCACATTCCCACACTGGACTATGCTACGGCGTGTTGACGGCCAGTTTCCTGATCCTCTAAGCCTCAATACAGATGACCTCTAAGTACGGAGGCTGAGCTTCGGTGTCTGAATTCTTCAGACACTGTTTCCTCTCCCCACTACCCTCAAAGTACAATTCTCTGTCACACTGTGTTAGAGCTTAGGGACACGTGAAGATGCATTTCTGTGCACCCTCGCAGGTGTCTCACAGGACACATGGCCTTTTTCTCAGAGAAAAAATACTTAAACAGAACTCTGGGGGCCTAGTGGCAGGAAGCAATGCAATCCTAGAGGTGTGCAGTTCAAATCCAGCAGATGTTCTGCTGGAGAAGGAGGGGCGGTCTCTTCCTGTACCAGTCAGATCCGATTTGACGGCACACACACACACAAAATAATAAAAATTAAAAAAAAAAAAATTTAAAAAGCGGGCTCTTTTGTGGTCTTGTGTCCAAAAAGCTGCATTGTAATCGTGAAGGCCGACGGTTCAAATCCACCAAATTCTCTACTGCAGAAGGAGGGATAATCTCCTCCTGTTGCAGTTGGATCTGATTCATTAGGAAACAGCGAGAAAAACAAGCTACCCAAAAACCCAGAAGCTAGTAAATATATCCAAATTTGTTGCATGGATAGTACACAACAAGGAATTTAAAAAAAAACAACTACTAAAATATCAATCATGAAAGCGAAAAAAAACCCCAAAAAAACAACAAGGAATACTTCAAAGAGTCTTGTGTATGAGTTAGCTTTTTTTATTCTTTTTTTTAATTTTATTTTTATGAACTTTTGTGCATGTCCCGTCATTCGATCTGACTGGTCCGGGAGGCAATTGCCCCTCCTTCTCCAGCAGAGCATCTGGTGGATTCGAACTGCGCACCTCTGGGATTGCAGGGCAGCTTCTTGCCACTAGGCCACCAGAGCTCCCTAGGAGTTGCCTTGTGACTTTTCACCAAGAGGTGGTAGCTCTGGTGTCCTCGGGGTAAGAAGCTGTGAGACAAGGGCTTTGTTGTTTTTGCGTACACTGCCCCTTTTACAGCCTTCAGTCTGCACTGAGGCTCAATGTCAAGAAGACAAAGATTCTCACCACTGGACCAACTGGCAGCGTCAGGATGGATGGTGAAGAGATTGAGATTGTTCACAGCTTTAGTTTGCTTGGCTCCATAGTCAACAGTCTTGGCACCAGCAGCCAGGAAATTAAAAGGCGCATTGCCATGGGAAAGTCTGCTGTTAGGGACCTCTCCAAAGTACTGAAGAGCAATGGTGTCTCTCTGGAGACTAAGGTGCGCCTGCTACAGGCCATGGTCTTTGCAATCACCTGTTATGCATCAGAGAGTTGGACAATGACTAGGGAGGACAGAAGGAGAGTGGATGCTTTTGAGCTGTGGTGCTGGAGAAGAGTACTGAGAATACCATGGACTGCCAGGAAAACAAACAGATTCATCTTGGAGAGGATTAAACCAAGCTGCTCCTTGGAGGCAAGGATTCTGGGGCTCCGTCTGACATACTTTGGACATGTTGCCAGGAGGGACCAGTCCTTGGAGAGGGACATCATGCTTGGGAGGGTGGAGGGACAGCGCAGGAGAGGAAGGCCCTCTATGAGATGGATTGATTCGGTGACTGGGGTAATAGGGATGGGAGTGTCAGAGGCAATGCGATTAGGCACAGGACAGAGTGGAGTTTAGGGCTGTTGTCCATAGGGTCGCTATGAGTCGCAAACGACTCGATGGCACAGAACAACAACAACAACCCCTTTTACAAGACCAAACTCTTGATTCTTTTGTGCGTCCTTGCAATGTTGGGAAGAGTTCCCATGGAATGTTAAATTCAGAGCAAAGCACACACTTTTTTAAAGCTAGCCGTTGCATTTCTAGAAGCGCCGGCAGATAGTACTTTCTGTGACACACTTGTTTTCTGTGCTCCCTGCTCTAAGCTGGACCATAACATAGGCTTTTGGGAAAGTCTCTTCCAAATGTAAAGGCCTTTGTGAAAAAGTCATCAAGAAGCAATAGACATGTTGCTGCATCCCGAAGTAGAATTGAAGGGCAGCAAAGCAAGATTCATTTGGCTTCCTAACGCCACACTTGCTGAGGGCCTCAGGATACAGGATTTTGTGTCTTCCTTTACTACATATATAGCTCGACACAGCCAGCAAATTTTGTGGGACACGCAGAGCTTTTCTGGAGGGGAAAAAACACAGATTAAGGACGTCATGTCTCAAATGATCCCCAAGGGTGGTTGTGACTGGGCTGAGAGGAACTTATATGCGTATCAGCCCCTGGAATCAGTGGTCCCCTAAATGCTGACATTTTAAATCACCTGATTGTTTGGCACTTGTTTGATACCGCCGATCGTAGATCACGTTCTGTGACTAAGTCTGTAGTTTTTGGAAAG